TTTTAAATGCCTTGGATGAACCTTGAAAACATTATGCTAATATTCAAAATTCAAGGGAAATCTACATGAAAGAAGCCAGCCACAAAAGACCACATATTGTATGATTCTTTTTTTGTGTGTGAGTGAGAAATACCCAAAGTAGGTAAATCTATACAGACAGAAAGTAGATTAGTTGTTGCCAGGGGCTGGGTGGAGGGGAGAGTTCAGAGTGACTGCTAATAGGTACTGGAGTCTCTTTCTTGGGTGATGAAATATTCTAAAATAAGACGAGTTGGTTTCATGAACACAAAAACCACTGAAAAGTAAGTATACTCTAAAATGGGTCAATCGTATTGTGTGCGAATTGCTTCTCAATCAAGCTGTTAACCCAAAATTAACATGCCTGGTAACATTCACAAGGGCATACAAATACAAGGAAGTCAGGTTAATCTCACATAGCTTTCATGATGCTAAGGTATAGGATTCCCAACACACTCATAATTAGAACGCCTTTTCGTAGCAAGCCATATTTGTTCTTCCTAACACTCCTCACCATCATTATTCACCTATGAACTCCCCTCTGGAATAGAAACTGCGTGAGGGCAGAGACCATGTTCTTACATGGTTGCTGTGATTCTAGCACCTAGTCCAGGACTATCAATAAATATGAATAACTGCAGCAAGAATTAATGTAGGTGTGCATGCGTGCACATTTATGGGTATGGAGGAATGAATGGAATGGAATGGACTGGGGCGATTTAACCAATCAAGTACTTCTGTTCTAATTGTCCCCTTAAATCTGTTCTCCAATTCCTCCCAGGCTCCTGGCCACCAGGAAGAGACATTTCCCAGCAGCCCTTGAAGCTTGTTGGGGGGCCAGATGACCATAATCTCACCAATGACATGTCAACGGGTGGAATGTGTACAATATGTCACTGTTTTCCCTAAACAGAAGACTGCTTGCTTTGGGCTTCTCCACAATGTGGCTGCTCCCACTATACACCTAAGGACAAAGCCCCAGGGAAGGAGAGAGCAGATGAAAAGGACTGGGCCAGCCAACCTAGACCGGCCAGGCTGTTTTATGATGCAGAAGTAAATTTCTGTTTTATTTAAGCCATCGTGTGTTGGGATCTATCAGCCCAGTCTTCACTGCTGCTGCTACAACCCAGGCATGGCTGTACAATGTGCCTGGTGACAGTGGGCAGGGCGCATTCCAATGCCCAACTGGACCGACTGATGGTATTCTGGCCAGCGTGGTCATCCCGTAACTCAAGGAAGACCCTCTTAACAAAGTGTCTTCCTAACAACTTCCCTAACAAACAGTCACATGATTCGAATGCTGAATACTCTAAAAAGGTCATTTTTGAATGGGCTTAGCTAGAAATTGTTGTTGTCATTAAATAAATATTTAGAGCCCCGAAATATACACTTCAAAGGAACCAATGAATACGTTTCAAAGAGCTGAAGAGCATCTTAGCTTTCCTTTGAACCAAGAAATAATTGATAACATGTAAGACACAATGAGTAGTCATCTGTGAGGACCCATGATGGTTCCTTTATCTAACAAAACAGCTCAAATAATTGGGGATGGGTGGGAAAAAAACTGCAACGATTGCAAGTTCTTTTAGATTGTTTTCTAATTTCTCTCAAATAAGTTGACTATTAAAAAAAAAAAAAAACAACCCAACGTGTCCAATGTGAAGCTTAAAGATGCCTGATGTTTAAAAGTAACTATTTAATTGTAATCTGTATGGGCTTAATGATTATCTTCAACCCTCGATGCCATTCAGAATCGAATACAAAATGACGAATTTTACAAATTGGATTTGAACTTTTAAGCACGATGCATGCAGTTATAAACTGCAAATGGTGAGGGGAAGCAGACACGAATGCCACATAAACATAGACATCAAACCAAGGAAGCCATAATAGAATGACGTTCCTGTACCTGTGACCAGAGCAAGTTCTCCTTTTAATTTCTGTTTTGACATTCCAGATGATCTTGGGAAAGTTACCTACCAGTTACAGGGCCATTTTCCCAGTCCATAAAGTGGGGATTATAATAATTGGCAGCTACCTCTTAGGAAACTCCAGCAACCAGACCCATTTTGTAAAACATTCATATCTACTTGGAAGAAAAGTGTCATACCACTACCAAGGATGATGGCTGTTATTTATGATTCTTCAGATGTTTTAATCTGAATTCTAAAAATGGCTTCATCTGGTTTTCTGAATTTGCCTGGCCGATTTTATATATGCAACCGGTTGTTCCCATAGTACCTGTGCAGGGATATTTATGTGCATCTACTCTGTTAATGATTGCCAGATTTCAAATCTGGGGCATGGTATTTACTGAGACGCTCCAGGCATCTGAAATCTACATTGTCCTTATAGTGCGAAAGATGGGGCTGGTTTTTTGCCCACTACTGGGCAACAAGATCTTCTCTTTGTTTAAGGCATTGTGTCAGGAAGAAACACCAACCAACTATACTGGTTTTAACATCTTCTATTTCATACTTCTAAGCAAACCTTTCACTCCTTTCCTATGTAAGAGATCAAGATATATACAAATTAGTTTTTGAAAGATTTCTGAAGGTAAAAATTGCATATAACTAATTACTTGAGTCTATATACCCTAATTTGTTTCTCCCCAAAATCTAAAGAGTCCAAATATAGATGGAATGGATACTGTAACAGAAAAAAAAAAAAAAAAAAGGCTAAGTAATCAAATGTTCACTGAGGATAGGAAAACTGAAGACTATGTGTATAAGGAACAAAAAAGACAACAAAAACAGTTGAAATCGAAAAAAACTACAGAGACTGAGCAAAAACTCCTACTCTGAGCTTCCTGCCAGGCAAGTCAAAGAGAAAAACTATATGGATTTGTGTCTTGGCTTTCCTACTGTCATGAAAGGAGGTCATCTGGAAGACAAAATGTTTTTATGAAGCAGAAATTCTACAAGGGAGAGGGTCTTATTTGCAGGATACTGAATAATAGATCATGCACTTGATAGTGATTATAAAAAAAAAGCTTTTTTTTTTTTAAACACAGACTATCTCAGCAAACGCTAATGACAAATTCCTGGAAACCTTTTTTTCCTAAATTTTCCCTTGACTTATGATATTTTTTAACTTTGAACACTATCACAGAATTTTAGGGGAAAAAAATCACATTTCCATTTTCAGGCAACAGGTATAAGCATGGACATCATAAAGATATCAAGCCGGAAGGAAAAATAATTCATCATTACATATGATTATAAAGAAATCAATGAAAACCTGTCAATGAAGCTCTTCTTTGGAGCTGTATGGATAAGGCAACTCTCAAGCTAGAGTTTTCATCTTTTCCCAATTTTTCAGCTTTGTTTAATTACAATTTTTAGCTTCTGCTAACAGCACAAGGGCAGTGGAACACTTGGCACGAGGAGCCTCTTGGAGTGAGATCACTCTGAGCAATCAGAGACCAGGAGACTGGAAATTACAGCCCAACTAAGTAGCTGCAACAGACACCGAATGGCCCCCAAAGCAGGCAGTAGAAAATGTTATCGAGTCCTGATACAGACTAACCCCTTCCTTTTCAAATTTGGAAAACTGAGCCCCTGCAAAGGAAAGCACTTTGCCAAAAGTCTTGCCGTGACTCAATTATCCCAACTGCTGGCTGGGATCAACCCCTTCCACTACCAAACATCTGAAAGGTCCGTCTATCTGTCCTCTTTGGAGAACAGTTAGGTACATTCTGCAAAGGTTTGACTTAAACGACATAGATGGCAAAATGAGGCAAAGTCTGATTTCTCTCACCTAAACTACATGTGCCAGAATGCAACTATAATGGTCATGCTGGAAACTCAGACTTGTGGGGGAAAGGGGGAAAGGGCATTTATTGAAACCTTAAAATCTGTACCCCCATAATATGCTGAAATAAAAAAAAAAACAAATCCACATCCTTTATAATGTATTCTAGAACCCCCAAACCCTAGGTGAGTTAAAAACAAAATCGATCAAAAATCTTCACATTATGCAAGTTCTGCAAAGAGCTTTGTTCAACTAAAGAGTAAGAATCCTGTATCTTACAAATACATAAACTTTAATTTAATAAAATCTGAGCAAAGGCTTTGCTTTACCATGCTGGCACATAACCTGTTTTTAAATAGACACAAATCTACTAAATCAAATGGAACTATTACCGGCCAAAAATCAAAAATGAAACGAAGACTCGAAAAACATTCGCACATCAAAATGATCTGGCAGGATTATCTTCTGCGAGCTGATGATCACAGCCCTTATCAGGGAGAGATTTTTGAAATCGAGTAAATATGTAGCCTCTCTAACCATTTTAACCAGGGTTCTTTTTCATTCTCCCTCCCAAAAGTGAATTTGAGAAAATTCAATTTGGCTTTAATTCATTAAGCGACATTAGTCTCTCTGAAAACTTCTAATTTTAAAATCAAGTACTCATTTGATTTTCAAGCAAGGTCAAGAGAACAAGGCAGCCCAGTGCTGACATTACAGGGACATGCCCCACACTGCTCGGCAGTGACATCAACGTGGCATGTTGCTATGGTGCCTGACTGTTAATTTCTGAAAGAAGGTGATTATAAAGCCGCCAAATGAACATCAATTGGATAACACCACTTTAGCACACAACACTGACATGCGTTACTCTTGTCTGCACCAATTTTATGAATCACCACTTTTGTGATGTGAATATTCCTTTCTAACTTTAAACCTACCACCACGTCAACAAGCAAGGAAAAAAAAAAAAAAAGAATAAAAGGAAGTTCAACTTCAACAAACAGAGGAAAGTTTGATAATATTTGGGGGGAAAAAAGGAAATCTGTGGACCATTTCTTAAGAGCAACCTTTTCCTTTTAGGGTCTCCAAAAATATGCTACAGACATGCTTACACGCAAATAAACACTCGTATATTTGACAAATACAGATCGAAATTAACAGAATTAAAATGCCTAGAAGGCAACAGATAGAGCCTCAGATATACTTCTACTAAGCACATTTGCATTTACCTTTTTTGGCTTCTGTAAAACAATCTTCAGTTATAGTCACCTCAAAAGGTCACGTCTTATAAGCCCTGAGAACAAAAGAGAACATCAAAATCTGAATGTCAAGAAGTAGCAACCACCTCTGCCTGGGATAGACACAAGCAAAACAACAAAGGAACTCAATTATGTATAATGGCAAATGACTTTCAGAATTAATAAAATCAAGTCCCAAGATCTCTACTTAACTGGACCACACTTCCAAGCTCTTCAAGACAACATCATCGACTTGGATGGGAAAAGTCAAAGTGAAACACTTCAGATTTTGTGTCTGAACTTTTTCTCATCTTGTCTATCAATTCATTTTCATGCAGAATAATAAGTGACTCACAGGCCTTTGTTTTTGGAAACCAGACTGCTACTCGAACGTGTCTCTGTTTGGTTAATACCCACAACAGCTCTCATTTCATTAAAGCAGAGGCTTATTTTTTTCCCCCCTTCGGAAGAGAGTTGGTTCTTGTAGACAAGATGCTTTCTGCCACTTTAAGACCTTTCAAAATGAATAAAAAGCACCACAATTTTCAGTTTGGGGAGGCGTGGGGGGTTAATTGCTGGTGAAAGCTGCTCACAGAATGTTTTTCACTTAGCATCTCCCTCCCAGATCTACTAAGTTAAATAAAAACGGGTCGTGTCGGATGAAATAAACGATTGAAATCAACCTTCCTAAAACACAAAGCAGCCATGGAACGAACACAGTTTCCCCTGCACAAGTACTCCTGCATCTGCAAAGTCCCTTATGCAAAACAGTGTGCAATCCTTTAAGAAACATCACAAGCTGCCTCTTTCTGCCCATGTAACTGGGATCCAACATATGGCACAAGTGAAAAGAAAAACATTTGTTTATTAATTTAGATCAAATTACCAAGAGGGTACAGGATCCATTCTACATCCATTGACCAAATGCTCAGATAATTTTTTTTTTTTTAAGATGGTGAAATCGTATCATTTTACTAAAAAATGTTAATATCCTTTTGCTCACTCTCCAGGACAATATGTAATGAAGCGGTTTTAATTTTATATAAATACACCCCTGCTTTCTCCCTCTGCTGCCGGGCCCTGCCCGCACGTGGCAAGGCAAACAAACACCATGGAGAAGACTGCAAATCTGATTTCACCGGGGCTGAAATTCTGAAAGTGGCACTTTGGTGTATACTGTATCTTTGAGGAATTGATCGGGGGCCAATTTATGACATTTCCGCAAGCAAGTGTATGCAGATTCTTGCCATTAAGACTGGAAAAAAAAAAAAAAAAAGATGCAGGCTCTGAGTAAAATCGTCATTTTCATGTTTACTGTAAGAGGAAACTGGAGGTTTTTCACCATAAATGTTCGCCATTTGGGTGGGGGAAAACCCTAAGTCCTGGGACTTCAAATTACTATTTTGCAGTCTTGCCTTAAAACCTTTTTGTTTTTACACAAAACAATTCAAACTGAAAATGAAAATCATGTGCTTTTACTGCTGATGTATGTCCGCAGGACTGGTTCCTCCAGCGGTGAGAACTGTTTCAGAAAGGAAAATAGCAGGGATGGGCCAGGTCCTCAAGGTAAAAACAGAGGTCTTGCTAAGCGGCCCCCACGCTACACAAATCAGAGCTCAGTGGATACACGGTGCAGCAGTATCTTAACACACTAGAAATTTCTACCTCCACCACTCATCAAATCTTAAATGTAAAGCGAGTGAACTCTGGCAAACCCTACTCAATTCAAAGCAAGAAGGCCCCTTTCTCCCTCCTTTTTACCCGAGAGATTCTCCAATACATACACTCTAAACTAATTTATATGTTTATCTATTGGGCTGTGTCTATTTTTGCATGTTTGGCAGTCAGACCTATAGTATTAGACTTTGCAATGCAGATGAGATTTGCTATCATATAAGGGCTGGCAAACAACTGGACCTCATTAAAATTTAATTTTTTTTTTTTTTTAAACTGCTGAAAATGCCTACTTTGAATAAAGTTCTGTCCAGTGCCGCATTCAAACCTGCAGAATGTTTTTCAGGTAAGCAAAATAGGTCTATTTCTCCACTCGCCTATCCGTACGGTGTGCGCATATAAGTGAACACAGAGCAAGCATAGAAGCTGGTTCACCCTCAGATTTTACCAGTGTGATTTTTTTTCCCCTTGGGGGGTGGGAGAAGAATTAATAACAAAATTAGACAATTGACCCTCAACTTACAAAGAGCAATACAAAATTGGCTACATTTAATTTTCACTTACACATAAAAAATCTGCAATGACATATAGTCTGTATTTTCCTCCATTTTGAAGCTCCATCAATTTTAATGCACATTTGGCCACTCGTTCATTTATTTCTCTTGATTTTAGTTTTGAGAAAAGTACACATCAGCAAAGGAATCTAAGATATTTTTCCAGTTTTGCTGAGAAAAAGATTAATAGTTCAACAGCTGTTTGCCATCATGCTAAATTAAATGAAATGTGTCAATATAATAGACAAGAAAATTAGGGGGTAGTATGGAAGCCCTAGTCTGCATCATTACTAGCTTAGAAGAATCAGAAATCAACAACTAGGAGAAAAATCTGCATTTTTTTCCCCCAAAGCATAAAACTTCTGTTTCCAGAGCTATATTTACTATTTTTTTTAAACAACCACTTTTATTTCTCAAATATCCCTATTATTTACCTGTATGTTTACTGGCAGTATGAGTGCCAAGACTAAAATTAAATGATTACATAAAGCTTTTAAGTATTTAAAAAAATATATAAAAGAAATATATTCCTCTCCAGCCCACTTGTCTTCTTTTAAAAACTGCTGTCTTCATACAAATTGCATTTTTTCCCTCTTTTTCTTTCTTTTTTAAGTTTCCTATTGGTTTTAGGTTTATAGAAGTGAGCCAAAGATACAGTAAACGAATTCTTTTCCCTGTGGTTATTCACAGTTAAGATCCTGTGAACACCAGAACTGTATCTTTGGCTCACTTTGCTATTGACTGCAACAGTCTCATCTACCTCAAGGGACACGATGGCCACAAAAGCCATGACCAAGATACCCAATTTTAGCTTCCACCTCTAGAGTGAGAAACTTCATGTGCTTTCCCCTCTCCCCCAGAAATTAGGAATTTCACTCTGCAGAACTCTTACGTTATTACCAATGTTTCAACGTTACACTTCCTATGAGTATATTTTGCCCTTAGTTTAATCTACGTGACACGCAATACACCTGGTGCCACTAGGATGTCCTACTTGGAACCGAGCTGCAGGTGAGCGTGAAGGTGTGACCTCATTTTACAAGACTGAAAATGAACAATATAAGGCTCTATTTTTTTCCCCCCCGTTTAGAATATTTCCTCCTTTTCTTTCTTGGCAGCTAAAACAAATGATCTTCATCAGGATTCCTGCATGGTATTTTATTTTACACAGTGATGTTAAAAGCGACTGTGAAGGGTGGCCAACATATTTCATGTCAATCTCAGTAGGCTGAGACCTACTGTGTGCTGGTTCTTACTAAAGATGCAAAGAGGAGCAGTGTGAGCCCCAGGCCCACGATGAGGGAAGGGGGCAATTAGTAGGTCTATGACTAAAGGGCCCCTTCCAACTCTTAAGTGTAGAAGGAACACAGTTCAAAGTTCCCATAACCCCGCATCCTCCAATCAAAGAGCCTGTACCGCATTTGCAAAAACAAGTCCAAATGGGCCAATTTCCAAGAGATGCCTGCTGCCTCTTTGAAGCAGTGAGTGAACCTCATCTTATAAGGGCTTTTATGTCTCATTCTTCAATGGTTTCTTAAAATAATAGAAGGGCATCGACGGATATGTGACTAGCTGAAAAAGCACAATACAAGGGTCACTTTAATTTTCTGTACTTAAAATAAGAAAATCTACTCGGGAATCAACCCCAAAGTTTTCTCTATGCCCTTATAAGCTTTGAATACTGAGTCAGGCCTGCAAAAAGGAAAAGGGGGGAGGAGGGAGGGAAAGAAGAAAAGAAAAGGAGGAAGAAAAGAAAAAGGGGAACAAAGAAGAAAAAAAAAGGGAGAGAGAGAAAACAGAGGGGGAGGGAAGAAAGGAAAAAAGGAAGGAAAGAAAGCAGAAAGAAAAGCAGCTGCCACTGTCTAGCCCGGCTCTCTGGGAGCGAAGGCCACCCTGGATGGTACCCGGGTTTGCTGCTTCACAAGAATGACACCTTTCTTTTACTTGTCCCTGTCACAGCAATGAGCCACCCTGGATCCATGACTTATTTTCCCAATGCCCCCTCCTCTCCCTGCAAGTCACATTTGACTTCTTTTCTCCTCATCCTCAGAGACTCTCCCCCCCCTCGAATCTTAGAGCCTGACTTTGGGGGTGTCCATTTCTAGGAGGCAAAAATCTAAAATCCTGTAAATGGAGGCACGTGGTAAAGGCAAGCGTGTCCTTGAAGTCACTTCAGCCTGGCAGCCCCCACTCACCACCCCCACGTGGGCCCATCTCCTTTGGAAAAAAAAAAGAAAAAAAATGACTCTCTCTCTTACCTTCCAGAAAAGTAAAAACCCTGGTCATGGTCATGTGAAAATATTTTATAGGTATCCTTTTAACAGCCTTTAATGTTGAAACCTAAAAACAATATTTGCTGTGTTCTCTTTGAAGCCCTAACAAAGCCTTTGTTTTAGATTCACCTTTAGTGCAATAAGAGTTAATAATCAAATCCATCCCAACCCCCACAAATGTTAAACAAAAAGATAAAAGAAATGCAAATAGCTATTGTCATGGAAAGTTAAAGTACCTGTCTGTATTTTTAAGTGAAAACTATTATCTCTATCAATCAAAATTTAAGAATACAATAGCGCTAATCACAGAAGGTACTCTGCCGGAGTTACTTTGCCTCATAAAAAAAAAAAAAAAAAGTATTTTTCCCCTTAAAAACCGAGTATAAAAGTCACATACTTACAATTAGATAGAGTATTTGTAATTTTATTATTAAAAACCTTCAGCAGCCTCACTGTTAATAAATGCTTCTAAGTCTCTAGACTGATTTGTACTCAGGAAGACCCAAGTCCCTACATATTTTAATAAGGTTGATGAAATTTTATTTAAATTCTCACAGTTTCCAACCTGCGGGGGAACAGCACACTCTTCTGTTGAAAAGAGTTACTCAGACAGAGGCAACAGTTAACTGGCAATGCAAACTCCTTCTTTGAGACCGTGGACACAGTTTCCCACACCCTGAAATATCTTTGCATAGGACGAATCTTCCCTGGGTGGTGGTTCACTCTTCTGAATTTGCAGCAACTCATTTTTAAAATAACACTCCACCCTCAAAAAGCAAGCAGAATACCCCCATCCTACCCCAGAATGATATGCATGTATATAGTACATGAATTTCTCCCGGAGTCCTTTTTTTTCTTTTTTGTAATTCACTTTTAAAAAAGACTGGATTAGCCCCCTGAATATGGTGCTTTCTAAAGACAGTGCAGGAACAAAAAATAGCAAGACCCCGGATAGTAAAACAAACAGCTCAAGATTAAAATTCCTAGAGCAAACAGTTAAGCCAGGATGCCATTATGCACACTGAGCCTGGATGATGTCTCCTCCACCGTGGGGCCAAGAGGCTGTCACTCCCCCCCCCAGCAAGATCAGGTTTCCTTCCCTCCTGCCCGCCTCTCTGAGCATCATGGCCAACATCTCTGGTGTGCTATTAATATCAATGAAGAGACGGTTCGGCTTGCACAGAAGAAAACCCTTCCTATGCAGGCACAGACCTTGGGGAGGACCCCGGGCCCGGGAAAAGCGACAACACAGCAGCAGAGTTTGTCTGCTTCCCTTCCAGTTTGCTCCTGCTCACCGTTGGAAGGCTTTTAGCAAACAATGGCAGCATTATCTGCAGGATAGTTACAAAACAGGATTTGTTAGGACAAAGAATAATAAAGCCTAGCCCTCCCCTCTCTCCCTTTTTTCTTTTTAATTCTGCCCCCCAGAGTCCCCAAGAGCCACCCTCTGCCAGTCCCCAACGCAACAGCCACGTTTCCTAAGAGGCACCTGCGCTTGTCTAATTCACCGCAGCAGCCAGAGAGTGACAACGGCCCAGGAAGCAGGACGGGCACCAGGGAGGCGACCAGAAAGAAGGGCAGCCAAGTCCCCTCTCGACATCAGGAAAATGAAACAAGAGTGTCAGCCTGGGCATTTCGTGCACACTTACCGGCTCATGGTGGGCAGGCGAAGCTTTGGGGCGGGAGAGGCGATTTTCACGCGACGGAAGAAAGTTGAGAGTTTTGCAAGGGAGAAAACTCCAGGCGCTGGGGGAAGCCGCGGGCTCCCAGGGCTCCCCGGCTGGCGGTGGCGTGAGGCAGGACTGGAGGTATGTGGGCTAAACACAACAAAAGCCACTGCTGCCTTACTCTAGATTAAATATGCAGGAAGAGGCCCCTTTGCATAAACACAAACACTCAGCAAATGAATAACTGGCTCAATCAGACGCCCGCTGTGCCTTCTCTACCTGTCCTCGCTCTGACAGGCGACACCAGCCTGTTCCAGGGGACAGGGCCAAACAGGAGACAGTTAAGTGTTATGTTGCTATAATAACAATTAAAATGAATTGCATTCATTAGTCATTAAGAACTCACTCTTGGAGGAATGGGGGGGGGGTAGCTACAGCTACTCCAAAAAGAACTTGGGGTACACACACACCCCTACAGTTCTGCTGTGAGTTGCATTTAAATCTCTAGCATGCAATGAGAGTTTTAAAAAACAGTCATATTAAAGTCACCATAATTTAAGGTCAGAGACATAGTTCTTGTTTCTCTGCTTTGTCACATTATAAACTGATCCTTGGGAGTCTTTACCTACAGGAAGATCTGTTTTATATACCTAGGTAAAATGTACATATAAAAATAGGTACACATATATGTGGCTATATGGGTGCATATATACTCACACATAATACACTCATGCATATCTAATAAAAGAGAATAAACCAAAAAAAAATGCTACTTAACTACACTCTTTAGTTCGCTGATCAATAAAGGAAAATAATTTGAGTTTTCCAAAAATACACCCCAAATGCCTACATTTCAAATGCCACCAATCTATGACCACTCATTTAAAGACATTACCCCTCTATTAGAAAGGATGCTTTTAACGGAGTGGCCCCAACCACTTATAATTTCAATTAAACAACATAATTACAGGCAACAATTTTCTCCATTTTGGCAGAAAATATGCCATACCCCAACATAATTTGTCCTTAGAACCCAGGAATTTAAGCAAGAGGGGGGGAAAAAATATGCAGATGCTAGGAATTCACTTGCTGCTTTTTCTCAGCTTATGGAGTTAACTCACAGTGACCTCTGACCCTGTGTTCCAGCCACATGTTGGTCTTAGTAACTTAATTATTTTTTAATAACTTTTGCAGTATTAAATGATTTCGATTGAAACATAAATAAGATTATGTTCTTCTTCTAATTACTAATGCCACACGGTACACTTCGGGGGCAATTCCAACATTGCTGTTCTGGAGGACGTGTCTATATTATTATTGCATTTGGACTAAAAACGGTAGGTCACACAGATCTTTCATAGCCTCTGAGAACGCATCACGATTATCCCAACAAAGGGAAATAAGGTGGTTTTCTATTGCAATAAAATAAAAGTTTTATTTTATTAACACGACACAGTTTTCCGCTCAAAACCATTCTGCTGAGAAAGTGAAAGATTACTGCCGAAAAGTTTAAAACAATTTTTAAAAAAAAAAAAACAAACCAACCAAAAACTCATTTCAAATGCACGTTACAGCATAACATGGAGGAGAGAGAAACAAAATTAAAA